AGTCAAGAAAGGGTGTGGTGAAAACTCAGCTGTATACTCAGTCAGCTGAAACTTGATGGCTCCTGCAAGTTTCTACACACCCACATAAAACAAGCTAATGTCAACAAGTAATTCTCCTTTTCTGGTCAGAATGAAAGATAAAGCCACAGTTTTGTAAGAAAACATATTCACTTCAATATGATCCTCAGCAGATCTGAACTAAAACTTCAAAAGTTAAGGACAATATTTTTGTTCCTTCCTGCTCTGTTGAATAAATATTAGATAGATTCTATTATATTAGAAGAGGATAGTAGACAAATATATAGGAAATTAGTTCCAGTAATCTAATGGGCAATCCCCATTTTTATGGAAAGGAAGTTTAAAATGGCTTTCAAATAGGATTGATGGAGATGGCATGGTCAAGTTGGATATAAGATTCCTCTCACAATGTTTTAAAACCAGGTAGATCAAGCCAGCAAAGAGAGGAAGATGCAAAATCCTGGTCAGAAGACATTGTTTTCCAAAGGTCCAAGTATGCCATTTTAAAATTTTAATCTAGAAAAAGAAATATTTCTATAGCATATATATTGTGAAGTATGTTAATACCATAATAAGTTACCAGGACAGTAATAAAAATATCTTTTTTATTTCATTGTACTACTGAAATCGCATTTATTTAAAAAAATTGTCAAAACAAAAACATTCAAGCATTACCATTATATATTGAATGTCTAAGAATAGACTATTAATAACCAGAAAAAGAAGAGTGAAGACTACTTCAGAGAGCTACACAGAATAATACTACAGTGATCTAATAAATAATACTATAACTATAAGCTACAAGAGCAAAAGTCACCTCATTTATAGTCCACATTGAGCTTTCCTACAGATTTCTGTTGAGTTTGTCAGAATAAGATACTTTGAAAACTATAGGTTTTATTGTATTTTTATGATAGAACATTAGTATTTTTTAATTGTGGCTGATTTACTGAAATATGCAGTATTTACTGAAATTCTGTAAAAAAAGAGTGAAGGAACATTCAAATTCAGGTACTCTATGATCTACTTAAAATGACAGAAAAATCAAGGTATGGTGTGTAATGTTAAAAAGCCAAATGGAAGCTTTAGAATCTCTTGGAGCATCAAAATTTTTTTAATGAATGCTAATGTTGTATTGTTAATGAATGCTTTGCACATAACTGGAAAAGTCTATTAGTTTCGTTTAATACTCAGAAGATTCCATTTATTACTAAAGAATCCAATAAGCCATTTTTTCCCCCAGCTCTGCAGAATTTGGTCCAACATATTTTCCACCTGTGTGTGTGTTCTCTTCTTCTGATTTAATTCTAGTTGTCCCGATTAAATCATCCATCATTTTTAGGAAGATTTTTCTCCTTATTGGTTTTTTGGTACTGCCTCACTAGTTTTAGCTATTTGCTACTTTCTCTTCCTGATATGTCACTTTGAAAATATTTCAGTGACTTTCTTATATTAAATTTTCTAATAGCATTTTAGTTTCAGTTCATTTTTCTATTTTTTATCCTTCAGGCTGTCTGTATCTTTCCAGCAGGTGTTGAAATTTTGGGTTTCTATGTCTACTTGGGACCTTCAATAACATAAGTAGCTCCCCCACATAATGTTATCCCATATTATCATTACATAGTTTGTAAATATTCCATACCCCTAAATCCTCTGACACTTAGGGGTAAAAACTTTCTAATGTATTGGATTTGGGTGATTATATTAGCTGCTTACTTTTTCTTATTTTACAGACTAAGAAATGTTTTATATTAATCCCAAAAGGACCATTTAAACTTTGTGTTTTGTACAACATGGCATACAAAGAGATATGCTCAACAGGGATTGAGGGCTAACTTTACAATTTACCTGATGAAGGTCAACTAAGATCAAAATCCATACCAGAAATGTTTGAATCACTGTACAGAGGATATACATGATAGGTAGACTGGTGATGTCTGAACATAGAGGCAGAGAATGTGCAGAGGAAGGAGGAGCAGAAGAACTCAAGCACGAGTGAAGACAAGTAACACTGAATGGTAAAAATCAAGAGGTTGCATTTTAAAAGACTTGGAAGACCTATACCCCCTGGGGCAAATAATACATTGTATGTTAATAAAAATAATTAATAAAAAGAAAAGACTTAGAAGATCTTGATAGGTATGAAGGTAGAGCATAGTCTAGGTAGATATATCCATTAGCAGACGATGAGCATAGATGTCTGACACATGAAACAGTATATAGTGAGTTTCTGGAGATATCATCAAAGAATGATTCCAGATAAAGTACAGAAATGTAAACAGAGAAAAACAATCATGAAATTACAACAATATGATGATCTCTTTCTTTGTTCCAAGTGATAGCCCAGAGTTCTAACATCATCAACTAACCTCATGACTTGTGGAATAAATCTATACACTGTAAAATTGGGGCCAAGATTAATAATGGCCATTTGAATCAATACCCAAGTTTTTATTCTAAGCATGATAGTGTTTTATATAAATGCAATTCTCAACAGAATGAGCTTATTATTATTTCTTGTAGGACTGGGGAATATTTGGGGTAAGAAGTCTGTAATAACAGGAAAAAAATCTTATGATTTTTTATCGGGGAAGCCAAGAAAATCGACTTTTAAAAATACAAACTACAGAAAATAACATCTTCTCAGCTAATGGGAGTACAAAAAAAAGTCATGATCTTTAACCCGAGCTGGGATGCAGCTGGCACACTCTGGAGTCATATCAGAATTTTCATGAGAACTGAGTAAGGTTTTTGTTTATCAAAGGAAGACATGAAAAAAAGAAGAAAATAGTATCAGTGTTGCATAATAACTAACCCAGTGTTGTCACTCAAGTAAGCGTGTTCAACATTCAACAACTCAGTAGCTTGGAAGAGCCTATGATCAAAGGAGGAACTGAGCTAATTTAGTGGTCTTTAAAAAAATCCATAATTATTGTCATCATTATAGGCAGTTCCACAAATTGTCAATGATCTATTTAAAAACAGTACTCACAAAATGTGTGTTAGATACACATCTAACATTATATGAATGTGTACTTTAAAGATCTATAGAATAAGCCTTAGAAAAATGTGATATTAGCTCCAAAATCAGGGCTGTTTTAAGATCACTCCTTGAGCTATCTCCACCAGTATCGCCAGGTATACTTGTTTTATATGCACATTTCTGATTCACACCCCGGCCTACTTAGTTGATTCAATGAGTGTGAGTTGGGAAGGAATGTGGGAAACCTCATTTTTTAAGAAGATCATTAGGTGATTAAGTAATACAAATCATCCTAATACCACTCTTGGAGAACACTGTCCTACAGCAAAGTCATAACAATAAGATCCTTTTTATCATGTATGTGTAAATGAGTGCATTTTTTTTTTTTTACTATCTCTCAATTGTTCATGGCTAACAACAGTAAGCTGAAAGAAAAAAAAAAGAAATTTTACCTTTATAAAGTATTTTTTAACAAAAACCTGTAGCATTTAAATTTCTGAAGTCACTGTTATTAGTCAGATAAGAAAGTAGAAAGCATAAATTAAAAATTAACTATAAAGCACATTCCTCTAAGATTAAATTCATTTATATAATGAGGTGTTGTAATTCAGAATTTAGAAAGTAATAGCCAAGTTGAGGACAAGCCCATTTCATTAAATTATTGCTCCTTGGTTATGAGTTTACATCTTTTTAGTCAGAGCTTAAGTCCTTTTGATTCTAAAACAATGGTTTCACTCTCAGGGCTTTAGAGATATCTGTGGGAACTTTTCTCCCTCTTTGTTTCATTGATCAGGATAAATAAAAAATATCTCTATGGGGCAGGCCATTGTTCATATGTTCTCATTATCTTAAAGAGAAATGTAATTTCTATCTAGGAACAAGACTAGCCTTTTAAATATAAATAAAACTTCTCATTGTGTGTAATATGTAGATAGCCATCTATTATGTAATTATTATTCACTTTCCTCTTAAAATTTTTCTTTAATCAGTTAAGTTAATAATCCACATTGTTTGTATCTTTATCTGAGAAGACAGTGTTTACTGGTTTTATTGTGAAATATAAGAAACGAAGTATTTTGTGTTTCAAGTATTGCACAAAGAACAGTTTTAGTCCTATTGTTTTTTTTGCTTATTTGCTATTTTATAGGATTAATTCAAAATGTATACCGTTTCAGTGGTAGTATTTCATACTTTGTGGTTTTTATATAAATGCTGTTATCTAAAAATTTAAGTGTTTGAATATTTAGACTGACCAGGATAAAATAACTGCTCTTCCAAACAAATCAAAATGATTGTTTCAGTAAAAACTGGTAATGTCATACACACAGTTTGGGATGTAAAAGTTATTAAAAAGTTAGAGACCTTGAGAAAAGCTTTTATTTGAGACATTTTTATTTGGTGAATCCATTAAGTCAAACGTCTAGTTTTGTGATATCCTACAATAAAAATGAATCCTCATCCTGATAACTCAGTTGTATTCTGCTTAAGTAGAGGGTTTGCCCAAATTATGACCGAGCTTGACAAAGAGACCTATTCTCACACTAGATTGTAAAGTAGCCACTGAGACACCCTAACACAACAGTAGAGTTACAGTAAAGGAAACAATACCCTTTTCTTCCCAGTTCAGAACACAAGCCGATTTGACTAATTTGGGAACTGTGACAAAATTAGTAATGGTCTGTAAGGGCATAATTTGAAGATTTCATATGTTTAACTTATATTTTAATATTTTAGATATAAGATAAACAGAAAATCAAATGTACATCTAGAAAAAAATAGCTTCAATTAGTTCATTATTCATTTCGGCCTTTTTTTTTTTCTTTTCCTTAATGCTTATATGTGCCTTTTCCTTTCATGAAGATTCACGTATTTTTAAGTCTCAAAGTGTTTTTGTCATAAACAAACAATTTATAACCATGGCTATGTTTCTTCAAGTTTTTCTTAGAAGATTAAAAGAAACCCCAGTGCTTGCTTATATTGACAAATACATATATAATATGTACACACACACACACACACACACACACACTATAACTGGAATAGCACAGAGAAGATTAACACAGCCCATATACAAGGATGTTTCACACATTTGTGAGTCATTCTATATTTGTCAGTCTTTGTTCTGGAAGAGATGGGTGGGGGGAAGCAGGATGGTAAGAGAGCTCAAAGAGTAATTAATCTCCACCACTTACATTTTATTCATTTTATTATGTAAAACACCAGTGCTAACAAAAATCTTGCTGTGTGAGTACGGTGTTTGTTGAATGACTCTACTTTCTCTGTATTTTAAAATAGAAAAATCTATCACCATAGTAGACATTCAATTTCCAAACCTACGAAAATTATCAGAGGTGCGTGTTAAGATTTATTCACAGCAATACCCTCTTCAGCAATATTTATCATTGGGAAAATGGAAAACAGTCTAAAATCTGAATAAAGGAATAGCTAAGTAAATTACAGTAGAGTAACATGATTATTGTGTATTTATTTGGAAATCTTGTTTTCTGTATTAATATCCTATTGATGGCGTAAAAAATTACCACAGACTTAGTGCTTATAAAACACGTTTGTTACCATATAATGCCGGAGATCAGAAGTCTAAAATGGGTCTCACTGGGAAAAATCAAGACATCAGTAGGGCTGTGGTCCTTCTGAGAAGACTTTGACTTTGTTAGCTTTTAGAGGATACTGCATGTGATGCCTCCTGGCCCCTTGTTCACACCACTCCAACCTTTTGCTTCTATCTGCACATCTCCTACTGCTGACTCTGACCCTCCTGCTTCTCTCTCCTACAGATCCTTGTGACTACACTGTGCCCGTTAGAATTATCCAGGATAATGTCCCCATCTCCACATGCATTAAATCAACTACATCTGCAGAAGCCCTTTTGCCATGGCAAGTAATACACTCATAGGTTCTAGGGATTAGGATGTGGGCATCTTTGGGCAGCATTAGGGGCATTGTTCAGCCTACCACATTCTGTAAGCAAATAAGAGCATGTGAGGATTTAAAGTGCTTAGGACAGTGCCTGGAACCAAACACCTTCCACTATGATTTGTAAAAGGAATGGGCTTGTGAACTTCTCTCTGCTTTCACAGCCAGATCTAAACCATCATCTCTTGCCAGGATAATTCCAGTAGTCTCCTCACAGGCCTCCCTACTTCTCCCCTCATCTTCACCTAAGTCTCAGCACAGCAGCCAAAGTGATCTGCTTAAAACATAAATCAGTTCGTGCTTCTCCTCTGCTTAAAACCCTATACAGTCTGTTTTCCCCATTTAATTCAACTCTTTGGGTGGTCTCCACAGCCCTACACCATATGCTCCTTCTAATGTGACCTATTTAACAAACTATACTTGAATTCAGCTCGCTACGTAGGCCCTTTATTGATTCTCCAAAGCACTAGCCTTGTGCCCACCTCAGGACCTGTCACTTGTGGTTTCCTCTGCCTGGAATAGGCTCTTCTCAGAATTTCACGTGGCTCACATCCCCATTTCTTCAGATCTGTTCACTGAGGCCTACCTGGTCACCCATTTAAAATCTCAGTTGCCCCATTTCTATGCTCTCAGTCTTCCTGCTATTTTTCCATAGCACAAAACTTTTTGGTATTCTAAATGTTTTTTAAAAATCCTTATATTTCCTCATCCCTTATTGAAATATAAGTTCCAAAGGACAAGACATATTGTATATTTTGTTCAATGATACATACACATATTAATTTTCTTGAACACTGTGTGGCACAGAGTGTGTACTCAGTAAATAACTGCTGAGTGAGTGATAAGATCCTATTAAGTGCCAGGTTCTGTCACAGGTGCTGAAGCCACATGAATAAACCTGACAGTTTCTCCTTTATTGGAGTTTACTTTTAAGTTCTATCAACATACACTCTGCCCGAGTCCCCAGACGGACTGAGAGAGAAGAAAACACTTGATGAGAAGTGGTAAGACTGGAAATTATTAATTACCCTTGCTTTCTTTCCAAACCATCCCCACCCTTACCACTCCCATACTTTTGTCCCAATAACCAGGTATGGTTTTACTGATGTTTTGGAGATGAATTCAAATGGATATAGTTGTTAATTGATGGTGCTAGGAAAAACAAACAAAAAACAACATGGCAAATCTGTCTAAGTGTCACAGAATAAATGAGTGGGAAAACAGTCTTTAAACATTACATCATTTTATGTGGTATATATACACAATGGAATACTATGCAGCCATCAACAGAAATGAAATCTTGCCATTTGCAATGACATGGATGGAACTAGAGGGTATCGTGCTGAGCGAAATGAGTCAATCAGAGAATGACAATTATCATATGCTCTCCCTGGTATAAGGAATTTGAGAGATAGGGAGGAGGGTTGTGGGGGGTAGAGAAAGAATAAATGAAACAAGATGGGACCGGGAGGGAGACAAACCATAAGAGACGCTTAATCTCACAAAACAAACTGAGGGTTGCTGCGGGGTGGGAAGGTAGGCATAGGGTAAGGTTGGGTTATGGACAGTGGGGAGGGTATGGGATATGGTGAACGCAGTGAATTGTGTAAACCTGAAGATTCACAGACCTGTACCTCTGGAGCAAATAATGCATTATATATTAATAAAAGTAATTTAAAAAATTACATCATTTTACACATACATTGATAAGATATACTCACATATTCAGGAAGAATTGGCTACAAAATGAATTAGCCTTTTTCAAAAAATATTTTGTTATTGACAGTTGTATTTAAATTACCTAAGTATAAATCTCAGTGTGAAGTGTATGCTTCAGTATGTTACATGAAGTCCTGACACAGTTACCAGTGACTCTAGGCTAGGATTTTTCCATTTGTTTTTCTAGCACCACATAGATAGCAGCCATCTTTAGAAATCAAGCAAACCAGGAAGTCAGTGATTAGTAAACCTAAGTTTAAATCTGGCTGCTTTATACTATGCCATTTCCTTTCAACAGATGATGTATTCTTAAATTTTAGAAGAGACACACCAATATTTCATTGTTTCAGACTTTCTTTAAATCAGTGAGTGCAGTGCTGGAACATACCAAGTGACTGTCATGCAACTTCCAACTTTCTGATCTCAACCATCAGGCTTCCCACAGATGAGATTAACAAAGACCAAATAATTTAATACACTGTTCTATTTGGTTTTACTTTTTTTCTATTGCAACGAATATTGTTTTGAGATTACCAAGTGTAAGTATTAAAGAATACTATATTTTAAAGTTTCATTAAAAATCAAAATTTGAAGAAATTCACCTACATGGTTACCATAGTAAAACATGTCCTCTTAGCTTAAAAGACTTTCCCTTCACATTTTGTGAGAAAATATAAGCAAGCCTAAATTTCTTAAATCCTCATCAGACATTTGAAAACTATGTAACCTTTTAAAAGGCATCCATTATTTTACGTATTTTTGTTCCAATGAAAATTACTCATCATTTATTATCTTTTAAAAAGTAAGATTTGAGGGGCAGCTGGTTGGCTCAGTCAGCTGAGTGTCTGACTCCTTAAGATTCTCTCTCTCTTCCTCTCCTTTAGCCCCTCCCCTGCTCACTCTCTCTCTAAAAGAAAAATAAGATTTGAGAAGGCACCTATAGTTTTGAAATGCTGGTAAATTCTGACTCATTCTGTCATCAACTATAATTTTAGTATCTTCATATGTAGATAGTTTCTGATTATACTCTCAATTCAATAACAATAGTGTTACCAAGGTACAGTTAAATACTCATTAGGTAAGTTTGTTTTTACTTTTTTACATAGCAACATTTTATAGTTTCATAAGGAAATTGTATCTTGCTTGAAAACAGATGTGTTAAAGTCCACATTTTTTAAATATCAATCATTTATTCCTCTAAGTAAGTGATATGACTATTTGCTTGTTTTTGTTTGTTTCTTATGTTTCTAGTTTCAACCAAATGATCTGAACCTGAGAGTAATTTATTAGTTATGTGTCCTGGATCAGGTCACCCAGTACCCCTGAGCATCCCTTCATCTATGATATGTAGATAGTTACTTCTGCCCCACCTCACAGGAGGGTTGTAAAAATGAAACAATATGGAGGCATGCTGTAAGGGTTAAAACAACTAGAAATACAACATCATTTTCTATCAGAGATATTGAGTGTTGGATAAGTATTCTTAGCATAAGTATAACTAAAATGTCTGCCCCGCACCCCCAACTTTTGTCTGGATTACTTTGTCTTAGAAAATCAGCTGCCATGAGATACATAAAGACAACTATCACATGATTCTACTTATATGAGGCATCTAAAATAGTCAAATTCATAAAATCAAACACTGGGTTGGTGACTACCAGGGGCTATGGGAAGGAAGAAATGGGATTATTAACCAACAGGCATAAAGTTTCAGTTAAGTAAGATGAATAAGCTCTTGGGGCACCTTGGATAGCTTAGTCTGTTAAGCGTCCGACTTTTGATTTTGGCTCAGGTCATGAACTCGGGGTCCTGGGATTGAACCCTATCTTGGGCTCTTTGCTCTGTAGGGAGTCTGTTTGAAGAGTCTCTCTCTCTCCTTCTCCCTTTGCCCTTCTTCCTGATGTGCATGCTTTCTCTCTCTCCCTCCAAAATCAATCAATATTAAAAAAAAAAAAAGAAAAAAAGGTGAATAAGCTCTAGAGATCTGTATAACGTGGTACCTTTAGTCAACAATACTGGATTGTACACACAGATAATTTGTTAAGAGGGCAGATCTCATGTTAAGTATTCTTACCACAAGAAGATAAAAATGAAAATACCTACTTGTTTGATTGTATAATTCCACTAATATGAAATATCAGAACAGGCAAATCTATAGACCCAGGAAGTAGATTAGAGGTTGTCAGAGGCTGGGAGGAGGGAAGAATGGGGAGTTAGTGCAAAGTTTCTGTACACATTGATGACACTGTTCTGAAAATAGTGATGATTGCACAATATTATGATTATAATTAATGTCACGGAATTGTACATTTAAAAATGGTTAAAATGGTAAATTTTACATTATGTATATTTTACCACAGTAAAAAAGGAAAGAAAATTGGGGGCTATGAAAATCCTTTCTCCCCCTAGATTATCAGACCTTAAAAAAACATGAACATGCTGGCGCGCCCGGGTGGCT